CTACAGCTACATGTTGTCAATGGTTGCATTAGCGTCATGGGCCGCTTGGTGGGCGCTTTGGAAACGGAGGGAGGAGGTTGCACAATTGGGTGTGGTTGCTTCATAAGTAGTACACCCAAACGTTCGGCTATAGCTGGTCAGAACCTCCGCTGTGTATCCTGCAGGTCACGTGGTGGAGAAGTTTGGAAGACGCTACCGGACGCAAAGGTTTATGTTGCTTGTTTTGCCGTGTTTGTCTTTTCGGACAACAAGGCTCAGGCTTTTGTGAACGCATCCCAGGATTACCCGAATACATCCCAGGCAAACCAGGCGAAGAAGTCGGCCTTTCGGCCACCAAGGCACAAACCAGGTACAAGACGACGAACGTTTTTATAGTGTGAAGTTTATTACACGAGCACAACTCATCAGTTCGCTTTGCTCCTTGTAATCATTCCATCGGTAATCGCACCTCATTCAACTCACTGTGCGCGTACCATGTATCATCAGCCAAGTCCCGTCGCAACATAGGCTGCAGCACCCCCACCCCCACCCACAACACAGTTAGACAATTCTTCAGGTGGGCAAGCTTACATACGCGTAGCGTGAGGATTTGACACTGCTGATGTGGTGACGCCACGCCCATCTGAGCATCCCAGGTTACGACTTTGCTATATTACAGCTAAGCTTGGAGACTCAGTCAGAAAGCTTTGAAAGACATCACCTAGAGGACAGGATCTGACAGTATGTACCACGTGAACATCTGAAAGGCTTTGGGCCTGTTTCCCTTGGCTTTTGGTGCCACCTTTTAGTGCCTCGTTCCCCTAAAAGTAAAAATAAGGTCCATGGAAACCATGGCCTTTTAATGATTTTTAGTGGCCTACTAGGGACGGCCCTTTACTGAAGTACTAAAAGTACAACAGGTTTTCGTTGTAACTTGCATCTTTCCATCTTTTGATTCATAACGGCTTTTGATATCGGTCACACTTAGCATCCAGTCCGGAACTCTCAGTACACAGATTTACCACTCGAGAGCAGACTCATTATTGTCAACTATATCGCGACACCGTTGGGCATAGGGCCCAGCGTGCGTGTTTGAGAAGAAGCCTACAGTGAAGCAGGCGTGGGCGACAACAAGGATACCACTGAGACCTCCTTGACAGGCGAAGGCATTTCTGTACTAGGCCGAAAAGAAGATTCGGCATTTCCTTTTGTGTGAGGCCATGGGCCAGGCGTTCCTGACGCAGACGAAGCCATATATGCCGCATGCCACTCCAATGCATTTACACTTACGTGCCGGATATGACAAGTGCGGAAAACGAAATCACGTATGCGCTCGCATGTAAAGATGGGCGATTTCTCGCGACCTGCGACTTTGCAAGGTGCAAGCCGTACGCAAGAGTGCACTTCGCCTCGCACCCGCAATTTGTTTTGCAACCAGCCATAAGTGTACAGTCCACACTTGTGCAGGCCCCGCATATTCAGAACCTAAAACAACTTTTGTTAACCTAGCGCAACGTTTATCCTTTTGATCAAATCCAGTCAAGGTGGTGTCGAAAGACACCGGATGCGATACACCAGCGTAGCCATCCGATGTACGACCCGTACTATTGTACGGCAAGGTAAAAAGTCGGTGGTCGGTGACCAGCATGAAGGTATCCTGTGCGGTCTCAAGGTACGGCCGCCACTCTTGTAGGGCATTGAGTACACAGAAGCTCTTGCTCTGTGGTAGTGTACTTGACTTGGGCAGGTGTGAACTTTTGGCTGGTGTGGGCGACGGGGTGGCCATCCTGTAGCAGTGCACCGCCTGTGCCGTAGATGCTGGCGTCAGTTACGACTTTGGAGGGTTGGTAAAGTCAGGAAGGTGCAACAACGGGCGTTGATGAGGGCGTATTTAATGCCGTCGAAAGCCTGCTGGTGCAAGTTCTTCCTTCGGTCAGCCGTTTGCTGCCGGTGAGGGCCGTGAGTGGAGTCGCTAGCGATGAGTACCCTTGGGTGAACTTGCGGAAGTAGCTCGCAAGGCCCAGGAAGCCGCACAGCGCCGTCCTGTCTTTTGGGACGGGGTCGTTCTTAACGGCCTCAATTTTTCAGGGATCCACCTCAGTCTATACTGGCCTACGAAGTGGCCTAGGAAGTTGACTTCGGGCTTGTTCAGCTCGCACTTTTCGCGCGTTGCACGTTAACACGCCCCTTTGAGGGATTCGAGTACGGCACGCATGTGCTCGAGGTGGCTGGTCGGATCTTTGCTGAAGATGAGGATATCATCTAGGTTGACAACGCAGTAAGCGTCGATGAGCACGGTGTTTATGACCTTTTGAAAGGTCGCCGGTGCATTGGTGAACCCGAAGCACAGCACTTTGTACTGGGACGTTCCCAAGGGTGTCATGAGGCTGGTTTTTGGGATGTCCTCCTCCGTGATGCGGACTTGATGGTAGCCGCTTTGTAGGACGAGGGATGAGGAGATACTCGCGCCCTGGAGTTTGTTGAGGAGGTTGGTGATGTTCGGAAGTGGATACCGGTTTTTATGGTGATTTTGTTAAGAGTGCTAAAGTCAAGGCACATGAGAAGCGAGCCGTCCTTCTTTTGTGAGAAGAGGACGTGCGCACCGAATGGTGACTTCGATTCTTAAATAAAACCTTTGGCCAGCAAGTCAGAGAGCTGCTTTTTCAACTTCGTTTGTCCAGCCGTGAAAGCCGGTATGGCCGGGAGTATGGCGGCTTTATGCCAGGTTCCAGCTCGATGGTGTGGCCAGTGGCGAGGTCAGGGCCCAGGCCCGTTAAGGGCTCAAATTCCTCCTTATATTCATCCAGCAAGGCCTCCAGTTTAGCTGGCGACACC